AGGGGGGGGGGGGGTGAACGGATGGAAAGTTTCAAACGATTTGCGAAACGATCGATCATCGCGAATTACTCTCGGGTCTGGAGTTTCAAGAACACTGAATTTTCTAGCATTATGCAGACCAGTTTCCAACTTATCTTTTCATGCGTAACATTCATTTATGATTTTCAAATTTTCAATTTCGAATGAAACTTAGGGGATAGCCGCACTTATTCCCTATCTAATCTAAATTGTATCTAATCGTGAACATTTTGCTACAATAGTTCCCATAGAGTTTATCTATTTATCCTACACACTGGCAATTGGCTAACGATTGCCTGGAGGGAATTGTCACTTCGAATTGGACTACGGTCAAATCATAAATTAATTTGTCAGCCGCTCTCGCATTTCTCCCGCTCTCCCCGGTGAAACCGATCAGATTAAAATATGCAAATGGACAATTAATGCAACACTCACACGAGATAGCGAATGCTGAGTTCCTGGAGATAATAGTCAATAGAGCCAGAGGGTGAATTAGGTTCGCGCCGTTTCTCTTCTTATAGCTGCATCTTCTTGAGGCCATAAGGGGGAGTGGAATTCGTCTTGAGATAGAATTCACCCTTCCTGTAAGAGTGAGAAGGAAAAAATACTAAGGGAGCGAAGCTTTCATTGAATCATCAAAGTCAAGCCAGAGTCTCCAGGTTCACGGCAGCTTCCGGCAGTTTTGGCTCTTTTGACTCTTCTACTTACGTAGTGACGGAAGTTGCAAATCCCATAATCGCCTTTTCGTTCTTTTTGCACTTCCCAAGAAGGAAACGTATATTCGAGGTGCACTTAACGGCCACGAAGGAGTCCTCTATCAGGAGAGACTCGGCGTAAAACTTCCAAGATCGGTGGTGGCTACAAAAATCTAAAACGTACGAGCAAACCGAGATTTCAATTATTCCGCTCTGTTTTATCTTATTTTGGCTCTACCGCGAGTCACTCTATTTAACGCGACTCTACTGCACTCGCCTCCTTTGCTCATTACGTGGTAGTAAAACGGACAACCAGGTTGTATCCGACGGCCGCCATTAGGGAAGAAGTCCACAGTACCAGTCACGTGGGCGATTCCGTAGAATCCGTAATCAGTGTGTATGATGTCGACAAATTGTGCGTCCTTCGCAGAAAGAGGTGATTCCAGATAATTGAAGAGAGGACCGGCTGGATCCAATCCTGAGGAAAAAGAAGTCCTGGAGTTGAAAAGAGGCAGGGCTGACGCGGAGCTTCTTTGGATTACTACTGCGTCCCTTACGTGCCTGTGATTCTCGGGATGGTAAAATTAAGAGATCGCCCAATGTAACCGGAAACCTGCGCGCCCAGTGAGTGTCCCACGACGTGGAGCTTCTCGATTTCGAAACCGGAATTAACCATCGTCCTCAGAGCTTCGGCAAAGGCTGCACCCACCCCTTTAATCTCGGGGACCGCCCTCAGGTAGCTTTGACTCGCAACTTCACTCCAGTCAGCCACAATGACGTTGTGATCGCCTCTGTGCAAATAGCCTGAAACGTTAAGGAAATTATGACGCGGTAACGATTCCTCCCTAAATGTCCAAAAATACGAAACACCGACGGATTCAATGACCGTCCGAATTACCATCGACAATCGCGCGGACGCTGACGCTTTCTGCACTCTCGCTCCACCCATGTACGTAAACAACTGTCGGCTTGGTGTCATTTATACGAGAAAGAAGAGTATCCACGTCGCTCAGATGTTCATCGAGAAAATCCTCGGTCGTTTCCCTGAAACATTCAATGCATTTCCATAATAGAGCATCCAGCCCTCGAAATTGTAGAAACTACTCACCCGGTATAGAGACGAAGAAAGAGACTCGCCAGCTGGGAGGACGGGGGGCCGCCTGCCTCGACTGCAATGAATAAAATGGATCTTACGCGAATGGCAAAAAATCCTTTAGCTCCGTATGGGAGGAGTTTCTCCTATAAATTTTGAAAATTCGCCAACGACGACCCGCAGACTCCTACGAGTCGTAAAATCCTCGTTTTCGGAATCGAGTCGGGAAATGGCCTAATTCTTCGGAACGTTTTTCCAAACTTTTAGGACTCTCAGTCGCATCGACAGGATACTCACTGCAGTTTATATGGCCGATCAGCAGTAAAGTGGGAAGCAGCCGAACGTAACGGAGCATAATATCCATTCGTGCTCATACAAACTGAAGGACGATAACTTTGAAAAAACCGTGCGGTTCGAGTGGCGATTGAAAAAAGAAAAAGAAAAAATACACGAAACGCGCCGAGAAGTCAAGAGGCAATTACATCCGGGTTCGCGATTACCGGCTAATTTATCTACCCTTTACGTTACGGGAATGTCATCCTATCGAGCATAGTAATTATGTGTATCAGGTGAAAAGAAAGGAGAGCAGGAGGAGAAGAGGGAAAGGCACAAGTAAGAGAAGGAGAAAAAAGCAAAAAGGCTGTCAGTTTGCTCGACTTATCGGACAGTCGCTCGCGATTAGCCAAGAGGAACGAGGAAAGCCGAAACGCGCGGAAGCCGAGCCAACTCGTGTGCTGCATAATAAAGCAAAAGTTTACGGCTCCGTCCTCGACAGCGTTATCAGCTCATGTCTTAAGCACCGTGTCCAGATACTAGAGAGAGATACTGACAGAGCCGTATAATAAATAAATGGCTGGAATTGCAATTTGCATTTAAGCGAACTTTGATTATCTCTTGTGCGTCAGTGCGTCAGTGCGTCAGTGCGTCAGTGCAGTAATCCATGCGTGCACATTGAAGACTGCACGCGCCTGTCTGTCGACCGCAGACTTTCTTGCGAAGGGAATTCATTTCTCTCCTGATACGAGAGAGGCGCCTCTCAAGGACAAACGAAGCTCCAGCGAACCAAGAAATTTCCGCAAAAAGGGACTCCAGGTGATCGATTTTCGATAATTGCGTCACATACGTCAGATACATCAGACAGAATATTGCCTGCAGCTCTGTGTCTCGAATACGTATGTAAGCAGAAGCAAAGCAATGCAGCTGATCAATAGGTGCAATCGAGCAGCAGTATGTAGATGGAGTTGCATAGGAAAATCTAGAGAAAACGAGCTCTGGAAATCCACCGATCACAGACTTTGATCCTCATGGATAAACAATAAACGTAAGTGAATGAGAAACTTGAGGATGGGCCAACTTCGTAAATGCCAAAGTTTAGGTGGTCCAGGTGTGTCGAATCATGAAATTCGTCAAACACGACACATCTCATTCTTCACGACAAGAACTCGAAGCTTACAATTTTTCAAGTCCAAAATAACACACAGAGCCGACGTACGGCTCAGCGCGTTTACTTGCTTTTGAATAATGACTTTAGTCTTTTTTCGAAAATTGTAATCTTTTCATTTTCCAAATTGTAGCCAATTCGTTCGTTTGATATTTTAATGCAACGGAGAATGCAAAACTTGAATTTTTATCTTCCATTCGAGCTCCATCTCTTCGTTCCCCACCTTCTCAACCCCCTCATTCGATCGGCGTCATTTTTCCCCGAGAAATACTCTCAGCATCCCCTGAGCCTAGGCTCTTCCGAGTAAAAAAAAGGATATGTTTTATATGTATATGAAATATACATTTTTTTTGTGCTTCGGGCAGTTTAAATTGAAATATTTTCTCAGTAGAATACGCAGAGTCGGAATAAGATATTCTGCGAAGTGAAAAGAAGCTGGGTCTCTACCCACGTGTAGCCCCATTCTGGCTTAAAAAAAATAAAAGTGGATCGTCCCTAATAAAAGTATAAATTTATTACCGTTACACGTACTCGAATCTCAAAGATCCGAAATACAGGACTAATAGCAGGAAAATCAATTGATCAGCGAGTAATAGCCATAAGCGCAGACAGGCTAAATGTCACATAAACCTATTACTCTCCGTCAGCGCGTAAGCGACTTCGTTCCGAGTAACCGTCAACGTCACCGCTCCCTTTTTCTTTCCTTATTAATTTGACGTCTAAACGAAGTCACGGGGGAAAATACGAGAGAAAAGGACGGTCTGGTTGATCGAAAGGAAATTCCCAAAAGCGTCGAACTATAATGCAATAATAACGCTGAACCCGATTGCGAGAGTGAGTCGTCTCTCCGTTTCTCCGTTTCTCCGTCGTGTCCGGAAGGCTTTTGTAATTTGAAAGAAACACTAAACGGAACGATAACAAGTGACTTTCAAAATTTTCAGATTACGTAACTATATCATCTTGGAACGAAAGGAGTGTAAAGTAACGAAAAGCTACAAACGGAAGTCGAGGGAACGAAAGTGGGTTGGCTGGAGCTGCCGAAGGTCAGGACGTTCTTCGCGTAGAGAAAGGGGGACAATCGGGGCAGCCAGGCAGCCAGGCAGCCAGGCAGCCAGGCAGCTCAGTTTCAACATACATACATGCCACACACGCTTGAGCCGAGTCTGACGAGAATAACCAGACAAAGGCAAAGAGGAGGATGCGCGGTGAAAGGAATTACCCAGCGACGAGAAAATATCCTGCAACAATGGGTTAGGTTAGGTTACTTATGTTAGTAAAAGAAGAGCAAGCAGCTTGCTCGTCGGATTAGCAACAAGCGAATCGGTCGAGTCGGATTAATCGAGAGGCTGCTCTGCTCTTCCCTGTTGCCTCATAATTCCCATAAACGTCTCAGGCTCCTCCCGGCCTGGGGATGTTTTCTCGAGTCCCGTACTTAACGTTCACACCCTGTTCCGCAGCTTAATTTCATGAACCTTCTGATACGTCCAGCTGATCGATCGGATCAGTTTGACGCTTCGTTACTTCGAGAATAATAGCAAACATTGTTCGAGCGGGACGTTCCTTTTCTTCTTTCCTCTCGAGGTTTTCACCGAATAAAAAGTGTCTCGACACGTCTCGAAGATAATTTCGAGACTTTGCAAAATACATTTTTTCACGTACAATCTTTTCTTCGATTTCGAAGGGCAAAAGCGGCAAGTGGTAGGAGCGCCGAGATACGCAAATTCTATACGGCGGTTCTTTTGTACAGTCGAGTGACTATTTTCTTTTCTCTTCTCCCGCCGCCCAACTTGGCAGCTGATCGCAGTATCGTTGATAAATTCCCAAAGGCCGGCAACAGGCTGAAGCTCCAGTTTATCACGGGAATAGGCAATCGCTTTTTATTCCAGGTGCACCAACCGAATTATATAAATCGCCGGAGCAAATTGGAGCAAATAGATAAGGAAGAATTGCGCGGCCATTCTGCCGAAATTAACGACGGACACGGAGTTCCCCTCGAGAAGTAGAGTTTGAATATTTTCAAGCAGGCAAATTGAATCCCAAAATATCTCATCGGATTCTGGGATACGAAATCTAATTAATTAGCATCGAGGATCTGTTTGCCAGCGTAATTTACGTCACGCAGCCATTAATCTTGGGGATGTGAACGTCTGTCTGTTTATGTATACGTATCTAGAGGCATGTATATACTTGTATACGGAATGATGTGATAAATCATCCGCGATGGATGCTTTCGAGTACAGGCGCCGCTGGATTTTTTCATTTTCTATCTCTTCCTATGAATTCGGCTTTATTCATTTTTGTTCTCCTCCAATTTTCCAAATATTTATAAAAATACCGCAGCCACGTAGACTCGACGAGCAGCAGCTCGTGTGCTGGGAGCAGCGACTTGCTGGTACATGGATATCATTTTAAGGCTGGCCCGATAACACGGCCGCCGCCCATTACGAATGCGGTCAAAGGACTGGAATATAGAAGAGAGATGAAAAAAACAAAGCAAGAAATCGAACCTTTTTAAAAAAAACGTGAGTACTTATTTTTCGGCGAACAGCGCGAAAAGGCGAACTTACAAGTTGCGTCGTAATGACCAAACGAGACGCCGTGCTTGTAAGAGCAACTTTACGAATTAGATTTGAAAAATTGCAGAGAAAAAGATGATTCATACTTTTCTTATTTCCACCAGCAGTTGGCTGGAAAAGAGAAGCATTGAATATTTGGTAAAATCTGAATATGCGCGATAACCAGCTCCACGCTATGAAAATAAAAAAAGATTCCTTCGACGTAATCGATCGAATCGCCGTGACAATAGAAGCTAATTTATTTAACGAACCTCGAAATGCTCCTGAGGCAACAAAGAGACACAACTGCCCATTTCTGGCGGAGCATTGTGTAACTACGACAACCTGACCCAACTGGTTTGCCGTCCGAGTGATTGTAGTGCTGGATGACTGGATGACTGGATGACTGGTCGATTGGATAACTCAGTGACTAATTGAGCAGATAACTGGGCATGCGCCTCTTTGAAAAGGCATCAAAAATACTAAAGCCAGCGGCCACTGATAAAATCCGAATAAACGGAAATATTGACTTTGGCTATAATGTAATTATAAGGTTGGCTTCGTCGCAGTGGAAAACGGAACGGAACAGGAAGAATGGCGAGTCCACTCCTGTAATCAAATGATCGAGTGTCAGCTTTGGATCTTCGGATTTTCCCTTGACGAACGTCCCCAGCGTGAACGAGGGGCGATCCTCAAAAACCTCAAAAACCTCAAAAACCTCAAAAACCTCAAAAACCTCAAACACATCACAGAAGACCATTATTTTTCCGAAAAGAATTATTTAGCCTAACTAATGAGCCGCAGGCTACCCGAATCCTTATAACGGCAGTTTAGCCAACAGCAAACTTTGCATCTCGCCACCTACCAATTCTGCCATTTTCCAAATCTCCAATAAACCATTTTTCTTTTCCATGTTTCAGATGGTAAAGATGATGATCACTGTGGTGCTGGTATTCACCATCTGTTGGCTTCCATTCAACATTTTAATCGTGAGTCTATTCAACTTCATTCTCCTCGATTCTAACGAAGCCTTTCAGAACTTTCAACGCCCAGTTATGTGTAATGCGACGGGAACGGTTTTACGTTAGTCCACCCAGTTTACATTTATTTATCTGCCGCTGACATGCGTATACCGAAACTTTATTTAATTTAATCTAGACATTTTATAAGCCACTCAACTACGCAGTGCCAGAAACAGCTAATAGCATATTTTGAATCCGCTTGACTGGATTATCAATGAAATCAAATAGCTTCCGTTGATATGCTTTTCCTTGAATAACTGACAACTTCCGGACGTATAGATATGTATATATCAGGTTCAGTGATATTGGAAATACAGCTAGTATACTATATAATATACATATATACAGATTGACCGCGAAGCGATAGTATTGTTCGTCAAATATCGTAACCGTGAAATAGCGATAACAGGACTATATTCAAGGATCCCGATGTTATCTTGACTTGGATAAGCGATCGGATTCCCAAGGATGCGTGGCCACGAAAACGTATAAAAGGATGGACGGGGTAGAGGGATAAAACAAGAAGCTGTAATTTATTGTCCCAACGTTATAGCTTGTGGGGTAGCAGAGTGAAATTACTTGTTGTCCCTTTGCTAGGCAAACTCGTTAATGTCCAAGGAAAGCGGCCCGTGTGGACTCGAGCGGTTCACTTGTTTCCTAAGAATTAAGAGTTTTTTCGTCAAGACCTCGATAACTCTTTAGAAGGCTTTGCGTCAGGCCATTCGTTTATTAGACTATCTAAGAAGAATATCCTCGTGGGTGTCTAGCGTTTTAAGCTAATGTGCCTCGAGTTTCCTTTTTTTACCTGTTTCTCTTTTACGTTCAACTCTTACTGTAGATATACATTTTTTTTCCTCTGTCATACAAACTGTCGTCCCTTTGCTCGGAGCCGGGCAGAGCAATATAACTTTTTTATTGGAGCTGCTGCCCTTCAGTGTCAACCTGATAAGGCCGGTGCGCACGTCCCTCCTGAATCGTCCTCCCACACGAGCGCCCGATAGCGATCCGCCACGAACTCTTCTCTCTCCAGGGGTGTAAAGTGGACCTGGAAGACACTTGGGTCTTTTTTTAAAATTTTGTTCCCCAGTCACTTAATAAAATGTTGAAAGGAAAATACACGGGTCTCGCTATTGGGGCCACGAGGGTGGTAGATTGGGTGGTCGATTGGCATGGGAGTATTGTAATAACACGCCGGGCGCGCGTGTGCCTGCATGGAGTGTGTGCGTACCTTTTACTGGTTCGGATGAGGGAATCGAATGTTTTACGTAGCTGGCGATGGACAACGACGAGAGACTCGGGAATTGGGTCGGACTGCCATTCGTCTGGACGCTCCTGCATTGGCTCTCGATGTCCCATTCCTGCTACAATCCTGTAATCTACTGCTGGATGAACGCGAGGTTCCGGGCTGGTTTCATTGCAGCTCTTGGACGACTTCCGGGTCTTCGACGGATAATTCCCGCACAGAGACAAAGGACTCGCAACACCAGCATGGCGGGTATCGCACTCACGGGTATGTGATTTGCAGATCCCACGACTCTACATTGTTTCCGGATCCTCGAGTCACATTAGTCATTGGCTTGAGCGGCTTGAGTCAGAGTTCAATTGTAGATCTGCTGAGGCGCCTCGATCATGAAACGGCGACAGGCGCCGCTGGGATTACCAATCTGATATCACGTGACGCGTGCGAAATTTATAATTAGCGAACAATAGCATTAGATAACTGTATAATGAGAAGTGGCAAAAAAGTGGCTTCTTTTTTGTTTTAGGTGTAGATGGTACAACGAATTCTATATTACGTCGCATGAATACCTGCACGACGTACATAAGTGTCCGTCGGAAAACTAACGGGAACCATTGTCCACCTGCTAGAAGCGCGGGTCTCCGGCAGAGTGAATTATCGTCCAGGACAGTGGAGCCGCAAGGCAGAAGCCTCGTGCGACTGGAGTCGCAACCCGAGGAGGAAATTTGAGTCTTGCTCGGATTATTAGTGATTGAAAAAAAGAAAAAGAGGAAGTATTAGGAGTCTAATGGAAAGTCAAATTCTGTCGCTAGGAGGTACGAAGGACCAGAATAGAGGATCCGGCGGCGTGAGCAGGTCGCCGGTGTGTAAATTTCATGTAAACGAAAAGGTCTGTCAGCACGAGAGAAAAGTCATGCGGCTTATGAAGTTCCCAGTGACGTTCGATCGCGGCGTTCAGCACAGTTCTGCGGTTTAAGGTTTTACGGGGCTGAAGCTACGTACTTGGACATTCGATATTATGGAAGCAAAGCTTGAGCCACCTTTTTGTTGTGCTGTATATTAAAGTTCTCATCGTCGTATATCAGCTAAGACTGTAAATAGCTGGCCGCTTCGTGTACACAGATAAACTGGGTTGTCACGATTGTTTGTGTAACCTACGACGGACGTGAACGCATGTATCACCACGTGCGTATGGTAATATAATAAACTGTTTTTACAAAATGCCATGAGGGACTTTTATGAGCGCTCTTACGAACCACAGATACGCAAAATGCTTATTAAAGTCTACGTCTGGCTAAAAAATATTTTTAGCGTTGTGCCTGAGTTGCGTCTGCGTATTCGACTGATAGGATACTTCTGTCGATCGTTGCTCTTTGATGACACATCTGGTCTTATGGTTTATTGCGAACGAGAAATGGCCGCTACTCGGTTCAACACACTGGCCTACTTAACTAGCATCCCTTTTAGGCTTTTCAGGTTCAAACCACTCTGGGTCAGTGCGAAGGTCTCCGGCTAAATGAGACTCGTCCATCTCTTCGGTGTCAGCCTCTAATCCTCCAGTCAAATTACCTTTTTCATTTATACGATCACGTTCGCGACACAACAAATTACTCGGGCGCTTCAATATGTCCACCGGAGTCCAGCTTCATTTTTAGTTAACTCAATTTCAGATAAAATCTATAGACTTCAAAGTAAACAGCGGGCTACCTTTGGTAGACGACATTTATTGTACCTTTTACATCACGTACATAGAAGATACATAGAGATAGCTAGTGCATGTTATTTTTAAAATTGATTTCCATTTTTGATAAATAATGACTGTCAAATAAATATAACATGAATTCTCACTAAAAATACGAGACAGATATTTGGGCGTGGTGGTATTCCTCGTCCAATTCTAGATTATTATGGAATAAAATTGTTACTGAGAGAGCAAACGCTCTAGAGACTCCAAGATGACGGGGTCTCGATAGGCGATGAGACCACCTTTATTCGAGAAACATTTTTCGCTCAATGAATATTTAAGGTCCAATTGATCCTTACTTGAACTGTCCATGAATTTCGAATAATCAAGGATACCTCCGCCCACGGAACGCAATATGGATTGAGGTGCACAAGTATCCCACCGATAGGTTGAACCTTTTGATAGAACATAAGCATCAGCCTGACCAGTAATAACGGTAAGAATTTTATAACCAGCTCCGGATGACTCAACTATACTGAAACCACCGTTTGAAAGCTTCGCCTTTACTTCTGGATCTTCGGAACGACTCAAAACGACGACGCCACTGCTGAGCTTCGAATGTTTCAAGGACGATTCCCCAACGTCGCCGTTTACCGATCCCCAGTAGCAGATTCCAGTCCACCTATTCGATCAGCGCGTTTTCGATTGATTCATTGATTACACGGGGACACATTGATGACACCTGCTACTTACGATTGATTGTTTTGTGTGTAGAAAGGCTGATTCACAACTCCCAAAACGGGCAATCCAGTGCTTCCAAGATACGCCCCAATTAATACAGTAACACACCGCAAACCGCTTAAGTGTATTTTGCCAACTGAATCCATCAGCTCTATGCCATTAATGTAATCAGCTGTAGAATCTATGAAAATGTTTTTCGCATGTTTACAGATACTCATCAGCTGAATAATCATAGACAAAAATTATAAAAACTTAAGCCTACCAATAGGATCTATCCAAATGCCAAGATCATCCATGTCAATATTAAAGTCTTCTACGAGACTGCCACTAACTGGTACATCTTCCAAGGATATCTTTTTATGAACTTCGGATGCAAGTAAAGTGGCAGTTGCAGTATCATTATTCAAGACTTTAATGAGAAGCTGAGTCGTCTCCTCAGGAGATGGATACACTTGGACTATTACAGTTTCACCCAAAGCATTGCTGAAGACATTACTTTCCTCGCCCTTGACCTTCTTTGCTAACTCTGGAAACTGCCACTCTTTGCACAATATTCTATCACAGTGTCATAGATATACTTCTCTTTGCAATCACTTAGGAAATAAAATACCAGTTGACTGATTTACCTCAATGCCTATATCGTGTCTGATCGTCTCCTGGATAAGAACATCAGCTAGGGTCTTAAAATCCTGGAAGAATCTAGGATTCTTCTCTTCCTCTGATTTCTCTTGAACGAGCAATTTGAACAGAGTATCATTCTGACGACAAGCTCTGGCAATATTTGCTGCTTTCTCAGAAACCTTCAAGAGCACTTCCAACAATCTGCTCCCATTCGACATAGTTCTGTAACTGCAAGCTAGTTCTAATTCTAAGGAAATGGAACGCTACCCTCAAGACAGCGAAGCCTTACAACTCACCGTACATAAAGAAACTGTATATCAAAATCATTCAAACCAAAGAACTATTTATGTTATGTGTTAGAAATATAAAGTCACTGTTATGATGTAAAAAATGATGTTAAATTCAAATGTCTCATAATTACGAAAAAAATGTAACATTAAACAATATCCATTCCTAGTAATTTAGAGATATAACATCCTAGAACCAGGACCGTTATTAAATACAAATAATTTACCTGTTATGGCGTTAATTGGATTCTTTCTTTAAGTCACGTTAAGTACATTGGCCGTACAGACAGTTTCTGACTGTACTTATCCCACTACTTGTTCCACTCGTGGCTCATGACGCACGTAGGCAAGCGTTTGACGTTTTTTAAAAGTGTACACACACACATCTCCATTTCTGGCTTGCTTTTGTACATGCATGCATATTGACGTTCAGTCAGTCAAGCAGCAATGCCATCTATAGCAACAGTGGCGGTTTACTATCGACATAAAGTCAGACAAAGCTGTGAAGGCTTGTTTTTTTTTTCCATCAGCTGGTCACGTACTGAACGTAACTTGGTGCAGCAAAGGAAGCAAAAAACGTAAGGTCTGTGAATGCAGAGATTCGTAGGGAGATACACAACGCTACGGTTTTAGGCGATACCAAAAACATGGCACTAAATCGTAGCAGCGAATCCGGGAATAGAATTTTGTGATCATCGCCTCTGTCGATAAAGCATATCCCGTCGTAGCTGAGCTGAACGTGATCACGAACGGGTAGCCTGGCGGGCAGAGATTCTCCACAACTTACAACTGATTCCAAGAGCAACCCTTAGAAAGAGGTCGCTTATCAGATGTTGCCTAAATCTTTTTTTTTGTAACCTTAAATTCAAACGTACAGTGTAAGCTCGATAAGATTTACTAAGACAAAAGCCAGCACCTTATGCCTGCCTGCGTTAAGGAGTGCAGCGATGCGGTGCTAGCTTCCATCATTATTTAACAATAGTTCCAAGCGGAACTATGGTCCCAACATTGAGTACTAGAGAGAATTATCCCGGAACTGTTTGAAAAACAACCTGAAAACAACACTGAAAGCCAGCTCCTTATGCATACCTACACTGAAACATATGGTGCGACTAGTATCCTTAATAGGTATTTTAACGATGTTACGTAG